CAGTCGTGGTGGAAGTCTTAAAATTTTTGGGGGGGGGGGGGGGGAGGATGTGCAAGCCATATAAATCGCCAATACCACCACAGCATGCCACACTCAGTGAATGTGTTTTAACCAAATTCTGGCAACAGTTAAGTTATAGGGGAGCAAAAAAAGAAGATTCTGGTTTCAGATACTCTAAGGATGGTTATCACTTTAAAGAAGGAAGTAGTATTTATAGGGATGAACTAAGAAACAGAAGATCCTGTTTGCATGCGAATGTCACTGACCACCATCATCACCACACAAACAAAAGGAGAAAGACACAGGTAAGAACTTCAAAACACTTCAATGGCTATGGTGCACAAGTCCAATGGACATTTGTTGACACTTGTATTCCTAAATTCTCAGGCACTTTTGAAACTCTCGTCCACGAACTATGAAAATTTTTTACCCACACACCCAAAATTATATATACACACACAAGTGGCTTGTTAAAGCACCTGTTCCAATAATGTCACTAATAATGTAAGTTAAATGATGTAGGGAATTGGTGGTTTCTGGAGAAAAGTTTAAATCTCGTGTAGGATCATAAGTAAAAGTTGGCACAGTGATCTCATTTAGTATCCATTTCTCCACCTCACGAGGCAACACAGTTGTCACACCTAGCAGTGTCTTGCAAGGTCCAAAACCAGAAGAGCAAGGGATTTTACAGGAAAAGACAGATATTCAGATAGCTGAGAAGAATCACAAACTATGAGTGACATCAGCTAATTCATTTAGTTCTTCCAGAAGCACCAGTTTCACATTTAGAAAAAGGTGGCACAGAAAAGCAATACCAACTTACACCAGGCTGGCCTTACCTGAGCTGGTTATTAGGTTCCGTGCTGCATCAGTTCAGGCTAAGTTGTCCTCTCCCGATTGGGTCCATTCAGTAGAAAATCCTTCCAGTTCCAAAATGTTCATCTACATGACTCTTAGAATTTTCTGTCCTGAGCGGTTACCTCCAGACTATCCAAGCTCTGTTCGCTCTCAGTCTCACAACACACACTCCCAAAATCAATTCAACATCTCTTCTCTCTGGTGTGCCTCCACACAGGCAGCCTCAGAAAATGCAGCCACAGAAGGTGCCACTATAAAGAGTTTCTTCCCTCTGTCATGCTCACTGCAAAGAAAACAAGAAGAGGTCCATCAGCTTTTTGTTTCTTGCACCATAGATACATTTGTCACAAAATGAAGATCTATTTGAAAAACAAACAAAAAAAGTGATAAACATTCTAAATCAACCTAGCTACTGAGTGGCCCTCCTTCCTCTCAGTGGGCCACTAGATTGTTGTAACCAAGAGAGACAGGGTAGTTTTGCTAACTAGAGTTTGTGAGGTGTGCCGATTAAAGATGATGGGCAAGGGAAAAAAAATAGCAAAGGGTGAATCCTCAACTGGCCAAGGGGGTTGGATTACATGCCTCACTAAGTCTTTTCCATTTCCAATATTCTCTTCTTTGTGGATGCACAGGACCTAGATATGTTTGTGCATCCAAACAGCTGTTAAAGCCAGTGGGCAGTGATGCAGTTGCTCAGCCAGAAATTTCACAAAGCAGGGGGCAAACAATTAGCCATACATTTAGATCTTCAAGGCTACATACACAAATAGACCTTTTAAAAGAGTCCTGACCTCATTTTGTTCAGTTAGTTTTCTTTTTTTTTCCCTCATAACATATTCTGTGATCATTTTTAAGTCTCTCGGTTTTCAAATTGTGCTGCTTTCCCTTCTGGTTTGAGATGCCAGGCACATCCTGCTTTCAGTGCTGCGGCACAAACAAATGCCCCACATTGCTTTATATTAATAGAGAGATTGGCTTGTTAAATGGCATTTTGTTTAGGATTAGGGTGCAATTTTGTGATCTGACCAGACATTCTGAGTGCAATAAAACACACTTAATGGGCCTACAGCCACATGATGTCATTTGGCTGTAATTTATTTATGCAGAGAAGCTCAGTTCAATCACAGCATCTCATTTTCAGTGAGGTCCTGAGTTTTACCCTATTTTCTGGCATGGGTAACTGATTTATGAGGTCAAGTGGATTTATCTGCAGGTCTCAAAGTGAGTTAGCCCATGGAAACAGTAAGCACATACTATACAATATCACCCTCAGTCAGCCTCTTTGCAAACATTTCCCATGCTTATAGTATGCTCCCATTTCCGTTGCAGGGGGAGAGAGGAGGAGAAAGAAAAGGAATTTTGCAATGTGCAACGACGATCAGCAGATTCAGGCTACCTCAAAACAAAGACTGTGGGAAAGGGAGGGATGAAAAAATATATTTCAAAAAATGGTGGGGTTCACGCAAAGAATACACAGAGCAGCCTCCTCTTGCTCATATCATTGAGTCTCCACTTGAGTGGCTCTGCTGATCTTACTGTACTTAAATGAAAGCTAGATTCTTCAAGAAGAGCTGCTAGCTATTTTCTTGTTGAGAGACTCCTACAAAAATTCTTCCACAGCTTCTATTTTAAACCTTAGAGAGAATAAACAAATACCAAAATAAAACCACTGCTTTGGGTTTTTCCCCCCCTGGAACACGTCCTTTGGTTTATGAAAGTTTCAGATATGGATTTTTTTTTGATGCCTCATTATATAAAATGATTTTTACTTGTCCCCATTAAAATATCAGAATCAGACAGGAAAAAGTAAAGGATTATAAGCTTTTGGGGAAGGCTTCTAATATCTGCAATAGAAGACAGTGAAACCAACAATAATTCCCCTGTCTCCCCACACACCCTTTTTTGGAATGAAAAATGCATATTGAACTTGAGTGGGAAGGAACTGTGGCCTTTAAAAGTCAGATTTTTCTTGCTTAAGACAAGATGAAAAATAAATTTCTCTAACTGCAAACTTAAGCTTCCTGAAATATTGTCCATTCTTCATTATATACTATACCATGTGCCCAAGGAATGCAAACATATCAGGCCAATACAAAGTGAGACTGGCAACTGATTTACTACAACATCCACCAAGCATTTTAATTGTCTATTACATAAACGAGCAAAGTGAATTAAACATCACTGATTCACATCTTCAGTGCCAGTTGTGAATTTGTAAGCATCAAGTCATAACACAAGCTAGCCTTTTGTCTGCCAGCTCAGACACACCCAACTATTTCATCTCATCTACAGAAGAATAATAAGAGGCAAGTAAAATTAACAGCCTGCCAAAACCACACACAATTCCCAGAATGCATTCCTCCTGTAGATCCATTTGGTGTGGACTGAAGAGAGCGGAGAAATAGGTCATATTACTTCCTCCAAAATCCCAACTCACGTCATTTGCATGTTACTGCACACAGCAGCATCTGGTAACACAGTAAGGCCATGTCTTCACTACAGGGAAGATTGACGCTGGCACAATTGATCTTCTGGAGTTCAATTTAGCAGGTCTAGTAAAGACCCGCTAAATCAAACTCAGAGGGTGCCCCCGTCGGCACCAGTACTCATGCTGCTCGCATGGAGTAAGGGAAGCTGACAGGAATGTTTGCTCCCATTAACCTCCCCCTGTGGAGATCTCACAGAAACGCAAATTAAGGTACGTTGATTCCAGCTATGTAATTAACATTGCTGGAGTTGCTTATTTTAATTTGACTTTCCAGGAAAGTATAGGCAAGGCCTCACTTTCACTAGATAGGAAAAGGAACTACAGCCTACCTGCTTTCTGCCTCCATAACTGAACACACAATTAGTGACTAAGTGACGTGACAGCCACTAACAGGCTAACACCTGTGACTAAAATAGAGTTCTCCCGAGCTAAAAGCTTTAATCTACTCTGTCTGCACTGAAGAGCCATGCTCTCTAGTTGAACGCTGTAACAGACTCTCACCCTGTGTGGATCTGGCTACAGAGGGGATCATTTACACACTGAAGAAGGTGACACAGGAATTCCTAAAACACCCAGCTCCTGACATCTCAGAAACATTGGTCTTTTTGTGAGTTCGCAAGGGACTATCATAGAGCAGCTGGGAAGAAGAGCCCAACAGATTTTTTTTATATGTACCCACAACACATCTATATTCTAGAAGACTGTCACCTACAGAAAGCAAAAATGCATTATTGTTGCCAGAATCCTGAGCCCTTTTTATGACTAGTGGGTCATGAGAAAGGGAAGCCACTAAAAACAGACATAATACAAACAAATAATTAGTGGTCTAGAGAAAACATATTGGGAGCACTGGTTTCCCTAGTCTCAGAATACAAAAAAAATGGCTAACAGTCAATAGGGAATTCAAAAATAGGTAAGAGTAAGTAGTTTAGCCACACCTAGTGTGAAAAAGTGTCAAACTGGTTGCCATAAGATATTATGGAAGCCAAGAATTTAGCAAGGCTCAAAAAAGAATCAGATTGTTAAACTGATATTTGGAATTTAGAATTTTCATAATTAATGACAATAAAAGGTTTAGAAGGACTATTAAACTTTGTGCTTTAGAATTTAAGCACTCTGCCTAACAGAGATCAGAAAGATCAATGAGGGATACAGATTAGTTCCATGGTCCCTAACCCGGTGCCCGCGGGCGCCATGGCACCCGCCGGGCCCTTTACATGTGCCCGCAGAGCAATCTGGGCTGGCCTCGCCCCCGGGCATGCGGCAGGTGCCAGCCCCGGGCGCATGGCCGGCCCCGGGCGCGCGTACCGGTGCCGACCCTGACCGCTGCCCCCAGGTTCGCTGGGCATGCCCTGGCCCCGGCACGTGCCCTTGCCAGCCCTGGTGCCAGCTTTGGCCCCGCCCCCGGGAGCACCACGCGGAACCTGGGCAGCCCCTGCCCGGGATCGCAGCACATGCCGCTGCCGACCTTGGGCATGCGGCTCATGCTTGGCCCTGCCCCCAGTCACGTGGCCTGTGAGTGGCCCCGCCCCCATACGCGCAGCGCGTGAGCGGCCCTGCCCCCAGGCACCCGGCAGCCCCAAAACGTTGGGGACCACTGGATTAGTCCATAGGTACTTACTGCTACGTTTACACCCTCTTCTGTGGCACATAGTTCTGCAGTCAGCGAGGTGACACTACACGGACCACTTTTATGATCCAGTCTAGCAATTATGTTCCTATGAAAATACACATTTTAAATTAGCTTTTCCCCACCAAGCCACCCTCATTCTTCAGAGATGACCTTAAAAGACTTAATAATCAACAATGCATGCCAAAAATGGATCCCACATACTCAAAGTATCACACTCATTTTCTAGTATACAAAGTATAATTTTCATATTTGGCTGTCTCGACTGAAGAGGGGTGGGTTTTTTTTGTTTGTTTTGGGTTTTTTTTGCTGGCAATACCTCAGATTTCCATTGCCTTTATATTATTCTTCTGGCTACTAATATGCTGATTCTGGTTAACTCTCTTCTTTTTAAACCCCAAGTAATCATATCAAGTAATAGAAAATGTAAGGGAAACCTGTGGAGTTAAATCCAAAATTTCAATTGTAATCAGAAATGAGCTCCCAAAGTTCTGAAAACTTAGCATAGCCCTGAAATATACAGCATCAGCATATGAGACTCTTCAGAATTCTTTAAACTATTGCTTCAACAATTTTGACCCGCTATAAATCCTAAAATTACTTGAATTGCTAGAAAGAATAGAAGACAATTATTTTTATTTATTTTGTGCAAATTAAGCCCTTTTTACTATGCAACGGAAAAAGTTAAATGAAGTACATACAATAAATCAATTTCTTGTTTTTTGTATGTGACTCTTGTACAAAAAGGAGAGAAATGATTGTCTAAAATATAGGAAAATGTGGTTGTAAAATGACCATCTGGCAAGGAAAGTGAAGGATAGATATACTACATACCTAATTTATTTTTTAAACTGACAAAATTTCAGTAGTGTATTTGCCAAGCAGAAGAGTCTATTGAGCAGAACTTGCAAACCTATACCCTATGTTATTTTGGCTTTTTTTAATTTAAAAAAATCTTGGCCAAGAGCATCTTACAATTCATGCCAGCATTTTAAAGCAATCATAGCCAACAGTGTTTCCTGTAAGCTGAGCGCTTAGGCAGCCACCAAGAAGACATTCAAATGCATTCGCTCGTCAACTAAATTAATCCACCTCAATGAGAGCCATAAGCTGTGTTGATGGGAGAGTATCTCCTGTCACGATAGCGTAGCACAGGTGATGCTTTAAGTTGATGCAAGTTATCTCGACACAAGTTATGCAGACCTATCTAACTTAATCAGTGTAACTTACATCAACCTTCAGCATTAATGTGGAAAAGGCCCAAGAGGGTAAATTCAGCACCATTTGCCAGCCGCACACACTTATTTTAAAAAAATAAAGAAATTAATTTAGCATTTTGTGCATTTCTTAAGTACCACTCCTGAAGCTTCCTGCACAGTTTATTCATGTCAGATGCTGCTGTCTCCCTACCTCCCACAAGCTTCTTTAGGATCAATACCACTGCTGTGTTGCACTTGATTTCGAAGTACCAATGTCTCCCTACCTCCCACAAGCTTCTTTAGGATCAATACCACTGCTGGGTTGCACTTGATTTCTATCGGGAAGTACCAGTTTGTGCACTTACAAATACAACCTCTGACTTCACTGTGTGAAAGTGAACATGCCGCCCCTCTTTTCAGAATACCTTGAGAGAGGGACTGAAGCAGGGACACTGAAGCAGGGTTTACAGAGCACAGGATCCCTCTGACACAGCTAGCAGATGGTTCTCTTTCCATATACTAGAGAATCTCAGTCCTGGAAATTTCCCAGCTCCTCAAGGCAAACAGCCCTTTGACTGTCTTAATAAAACATCTTTGTTGCTAGGTCTGTGGGAGCAGAAATAGATTACAGAACATGACACAAAAACAGTCTTGTTAACCCTTCTTGGAAGCATGATGTGCAGGCCTAGACTATGTGCTGCAGGAAAGCTATTATTGCCTGATAACTAGTACCATCCCATGCTGCCCAGTCTAACTATAATGCCTGATGTGGTGATGAAAATATTAACAGATTAAGTAAGGTGCACAACCACTTTAGAGAGATTTCTGGCAGAGAGGTGCTCACATGCAAGAAATCAGGCGTAAACTAAAGAACACTAGCAAAACCATCACACATAAATCCCTCTGTTTTATTACTGTTTACCAGGGAAGGCCATTGAAAGAAAGTGTATAAGTTTAATCACAATATTTTTGGGATGGAAGGTGGAAGACTAAGGAGTCTTGGAGAGAAAGCAAAACAATGGCTAAAAATATTTGCTTTAGTTTGACAGTAAATTGGAAACACTCACGCACTAGATACGAGTGCTCTGCCAATTATTTAAAATTACAAAAACAGAATGTAGTAAATCAGCTTGATTGCGAGGTCAGGTATTCCCCACCCCTTGCTTGGAGGAATGTGTTATGATTACAGACTTGTAGAATAGATGCAACCAAAAACAAAAATCCATCTTCACATGTGGGAAGGACAGGATGTGAATTCTGGCCTTTAGACTTAAGATCACTTCACTGTCCCCCTTAACTCCTCGATATACAGAATGAAAACATCCCATTTCTCTCAGCAAGCACTTGTGTTGCTCGCTGTGCCTGACTTTCTGCTAGGAGCCAGAGGACTGCAATGAATTCCACTTACAATGGCAGCTCTCTGGAGGCAGGCAGCTGTGCCTCTTGAGCAGAGAACAGTTCCAAAAGCTCCATGACACGATTCTCACTAATTACTGCCAATGGACCATAAATGCTATTTATCAATGGAAAGTTCTCTGATTTTCATAAGCAGTGTGCATAACCAGTTAGCATCCCAATTCAATTACAACAGAAAAGCCGTTTCTTTTTCCTTTCTGACGGAAAGAAACGCCATCCTCCAACTCACGTGACATCAATTATTTAGTAACTGAATTAAAGCAGGAGATTGAGGTGCATTGAGGTTTGGGAGTATGACAAAGCTCTGGGAAACAACTGCTCAAGTGTGGAGAGGGAGAAGGGTCTTGCGTGTGGAGAGGGAGAAGGGTCTTGCGCAATAAGGACATCCACATTGCTTGTTTTGCGCAAAAACGGCTCGACTAGATTATGCAAATGAAGTGTGATAAAATGCTAATCAGAGCTTCATTTGCATACACTCTGCCAGCAAAAAGCCGGCAGTGTAGACATAGCCTCAGTGTCCCATTTCCCCCCTCATTGTACACTTGAAGTTATCTGGAGAGGTGGGATGGACAAATTGGAGAAAGCCCAGTGGAGAATAATAAAAGTAATAAAAGAGGTAGAAAATCTAACCTGTGAGAAAAGGTTAAAAAAAATAGGCATGTTTAGTCCAAAGAGGAGTTGGGGGGAGGGACCTGATAATTGTCTTCAATTATGTTAAGGGTTGCTATAAACAGAACTGTGATGAATTGTTCTCCCTGTCCACTGGAGGCGCAGCAATGGCGATTGCAGTAGGAAGTTAGTTTGGTACAACTACTTCACTCAGAATATGTGAAAAATCCATACCCCTGAACAATTCAATCAAACCAACCTCACCCTTCATGCTAGGTCGATCAGAAAATTGTCCTATAGATCTAGTTACCACCTCTCAAGGCAGAGGCTTACATCCTATCAGCATGGGTAGCATCTTCACCAAAGCACTATAGCTGCACCACTGAAGTATTTTAAGTGTAGACAAGCCCTTATTGTTAGAAAGTGTTTTGTAATATCTAATCTAAGGGTAGTTAAGCTCTGTAATAGTCTCTCAAGGGAAGCAATGAAATCCCCATCACTGGCAGTCTTTTAAAATAGTTTACCCAGCACCTGTCAGGGATAGTCTAGGTTTACTTGGCTCTGTCACAGCACAGGGGGTTTAACTGAATGACTTCAAGGTCTTTCCAGCACTACATTTTGTAGAGTCCTCTATCATGGCAATTATGCCTCCAGCACTCGAGGTCTCATTTTCTTCCCTCTAAAGCAAAGGCTGGGGAAGGAAATGACAGCCCGAGCACCGTCAGTAGTCTCCATGCTATGCGGAATGGCCCCCACTTCCACCAGTGTATCAAATAATAATCAAGAGATCCAAGGCACCTTAGGAACAACTGAAATGACTGACAACAAATATGAATGTAAATGAACTGTTCCTTAGAAGAGAATCTCAAACTTGCTCAAAGCCTTACACCCTCAAACCTTGGTCCGGGACATTGTCACACAAGAATCAGAATGCCATGTAAGAAATGTTACGCGAATGTTCATTTGTAAAGCTCAGTATTCTCTTCAGAACTCAGACTGGTTCAGGGAAGGACAGTTTACAGAAGCTGCTTTCTCCAGAGAACCCTTGTGCAGAGCAATGCGGACACTAAGTGAACCTTTTGCACTTTTCGGTGACTACAGCCTCTCAATTCTGCAACACCAAAACCTCTCTCCCCCCTGCTCTTAAATTAGCCTCTGTCATTCACAGGTCTCCAGATTTGACTCTCTCGTCACTGGCTTTAAACAGAACCTAATAATCAAGTGACATCTGTTTTACCAAGAGTATAAAAAGGAACTTCTTGGTTCAGCCAGGAAGCACAAAGGGTTTTGGTATTACATCAAGTGTTCTGCTTCTTGACTGAAAATATCCACAATAGGCTTCAGTGGAGACTAGATTACAGGAGACTCTGCAGCTTCCTCTCAGCGAGGCAATGAATCTTAAACTTATTCATATGACTACAGATGAAGGGAAGACAGGGGTATGATAGTGATATGTTCATGCTCCCAGGATATGGGTTTAAAAAAATTAAGATGATTTCTGCCACAGTAAAGGAATTTCTTAATACTCTTTAGAAAAGTTATTCAATATTTGGCAAGCCATTTGCTTTTGAAGGCAATGCATGTGTTTGAAAGAGGCATATGAAGATAATGTTTTTATAATAAGCAGGCTTTGCAGACATTGATTTTTATGATGGACACAGATATCCATCCTTATTCTGAAGCATTTTAAAAATGTTAATCCATTTACATTTTCCTTGTTATGGAAAATGAGGGGGTCAGACTAATTGGTAAATGACACATTCAAAAAGTTAAAACAGAAATTGCCAGTGTCACACGTCAGAATATACACAGCAAATATCCTTAAATCAAGCTCTGCTAAGTTCTCAAGCAGTGTTGTTGTGAC